CTTCTCATTGCATACCTTCCCAAACCCCAAACCACTGTCATCGAGTCAATTCCAACTGATACCCTATTTTCCCAAAAGTAAGAAATCCCCCGAAAATAAGACCTACTTACAGTTTTGCCTCTCACCAAAATATAAGGCATCCCCCCAAAAACAAGGCCCCCCGAAGCTATCGTAACTCTGGACTCTGGACCATAGCGGGCACCGCAGCGCAGATCAATGTTGGCCACAGTGCAGACGGAGCAGACAAGAAGTGCGAGGTTTCTTTTAATAAAACAATAAACAATAAATGTGTACCGTATTCTTCTTCATAGAAAAATAAGACATCTCCTGAAAATAAGACCTACCGCATCTTTGGGAGCAAAAATTAATATAAGACACTGTCTTATTTTCGGGGAAACGGGGTAGTGATCTGGGTGTTATTTTTCAGAGGCAGACAGTCTCATCTTCCACCCGAGGATCAGCTGGCAGGTTTGAACTACCCACTGTGTGGTTAGCAGTCCAAGGCTTACTCAGCAGGCAGCACCATGGGGGTCCATCATGATGTACGTTGTAAGAATCAAGTGAGTTGATGAAAATCAAGTGAGTTGATGAACAGTGCCAGGCATACAGCAAGCCCTTATTGCATGCTGGCACTGAAAAGGTTGCCCTGATTATATTTCAGGAAACTACCCTTCCCTAGGAGCCCTGGTGGTGTAGTGGTTACACGTTGGGCTGGGATGCGCGTGGTCAGCAGTTTGAAACCACCAGCAGCTCTACAGAAGACTGGGCTTTCTACTCCCTTAAACAGTTACAGTCCCAGAAACCCACATGAGGTCACTGTGGGTCAGCATTAACTTGACGGCAGTGAGAGTTTCTTGGTCGTGTAACTGGGTGAAACAAAAGTCACTCCCAGCTCCCAAAGTCAGCTGGTCTCAGAAACTCTGTCCTATAGACTCACTATAACAGTTAGAATAGACTTGATGATAGTGACTGCGTTTTGAGGAGGTCACTGCCTGCCAAATACAAGTCAGAGAACCAGCAACTACGAGAGGAAGAAAACAGGTGAATCCACACATGCTGATGTTACTACCTTAAATCTGTTGCTCTTTTGTTAAGTAGGCCAGGGAACTTGCTGCTTCACATATGCTAATTTGGCTGAGTTTCTATTACCTGCAACTTAAAGAATCCTGGCCAATGGCTTGCTGTACCCTCGTGTCCAACACATCAACCCTCCCTTTGATTGGACATCAGAACCTGGTGCCTAGTCCTTTTTCCAAATGCAAATCCATCCATCTGGCACGTTTGCACCTACAGCCTCAGGCAGATTTGCACCTACAGCCTCTTCCTACTCTTTTCCTCTTGCCTCCTCCCTGACTCACGGACTCTCTTCATGTGGAAACATAGAGAAGCTTTCCCCTTCAAGAGTGTAGTCTCTTTGGGATCAGAAGATCCATGTACCAATCCACAAGCTACTATAAGGAAATGAGTATCTGAGACCATCAAAGGGGCTATTTGAGAGTCTGCAATCCACAGACCTCAGGGTATAGGGAGGCCCCTGGGATCAATCAGCAAGAGGCAGTACTTTTGACACCTCCCTAGGAGTGGTTGGAGAGAGCAAATAACACTAGCCTTCTCCTGACTTCTGCTCTACAAAAAAAGTGTTTCTTAGAATAAGGTTCTCTTCTGATTCTCTTAAATATGCCCGTGCAAGGGAGTGGTTCATTTCCTCCTCGCTAGCCTGATCCAGAGCAGCAGTCCTAACCCCGCTAGAGCAGCCTGTACCCTGTCACTCCCCCTCCATGTAACCCACAGCCAATCCACCAATAATTTGTGAAGAGCTGAGCAACCCAAAATGCTGGGACCACCAGGTGGCCCAGGTAGGCACATAAAGTATTCAAATATCAGGTAGGTACATACAATTTTTAAATAAGCAACTCGCCGGGCAAGGACATATTCCTCAACACCACTTCGAACACATCCAGGTAAGGTTAAGGCGATGCTATGTAGGCCGCACTTCCCCGGGTTCTTCACCTCAGCACCTCAGAGCACATCCATCAGCAGCTATGGAAGTGAAGGGGCAGGAAAATGGGAAGAAGAGTCTAACAACCACCTCAGTCTAGCGTTAAGGTAAATGAGTTCAAAGGAGTCAACTCTCCCCTCAGCCCACCCCAAAACAGACGACACAACACGATGAGAGCCAGAAAGAGATCAGAGTCTCCCTGGGTGTCCACAGCGAGCACTGGCCCAGTTTACCCGGGTCCCTTCCATCCTCCCTCCTTTCCCGGTACTCATCATGGTCCCACACATGGTAGGCACATGGGTTTGGCCTCTGCAGTCCCAGAGGGATATGCCCATTCATTCAAGCCAGAGTCTGGTACAAGCCACAGTACTTCTCTCTCCACAAGACACCCAGGTGACGTAGTGGGTTATGCCCTGGGCTTCTGACTGCAAGGTCAACACTTCCAAACCACTAGCCCCTCCTTGGGAGAACGATGAGGCTGTCTACGCCTGTAAAGAGTTAGTCTCCAAAACGCACAGAAGCAGTTAGTTCGACTGACCTACAGGGCCACTATGAAACAGCATCAACGCGACCACAGTGAGTTTGGTTTGGAGTGAAGGTACACAAGCTTAGGAATGCCCTTGTGTGACAAGTGTAGTGGCTCAGAGCTCGGGTCTGCTTGGGAAAATGGATCAGAGAAAATGAAGGTAACTCGAACCAGAATCCCAAATTGCCCTGGCCTCTTTCTGAATTCTTCCTCTGCCTGTGGAAGAGAACATGACTCTGGTCTTCGCCGTACACACATTGTCAACTTCAGTACCTCGCGGCCCTGCACAACATCCCTC